TATGATAATTAACATTTATGATATACAAATCATTGTCATTTCTATTTTTTAATTATAATAATTATATGATTAATATATATATATATATATATATAATTTGAAATTATATAATTAATTATATGAGTAAAATAATAAAAATACACACATGCAGAAATGCAATATATTTTTAATTAAGGTAATTTTAATTAATATTGTATAAATAATTTATGAAATAATCAATCAATATAACATCCTGATTTTCTAAAATAAAATAACAAGAATTGTTTTTAATAAAATTATATTATAAACTTAGTTATTTAATTATTTAAATTTATAATATAAATAATATTTTTATTAATTAAATAAAATAAGAAGGAAGTGAGAGAAAAGAAAGAAGAGTTTAGGTTAAACTGTGAATCTAATCCTAAGACTTAAAAAAAAATAACAAAGGGGTTAGGTTTTCATTATGCATAATGTTAGTCAAATAACCTCATATAACTTAAGAGGGCGGGTGAATTAAGTTTTCAAATTTTTTTCTTATAAAATTTTTTCAAATTACTTTCTTACAAATTCAATTCCTTATATAAATTTATATGTAAAGAATGAATGATGCAAAACTACTCTAACATAATTAAATAACAAGTAATTAAAAGTGTAGGGAAAGAAGAATTGCAAACTTAATTTTATACTAGTTCGACTAATCTTGCCTACGTCCAGTCCTCAAGTCTCCCACTTGAGATTTCCACTATTCTTGTAAACTTTACAAGACTTGAATCCTCCAACACCTCAGAACTCCATTTCCTTGTGTTGAGATTCAAAAACCAACAAGGGGAAAAATCCTTTCTCCTTCAAAGATCCAATGATCAATTTGGAATTACAGAATAACTCTCTTTTAAGAGTTTTTTTTTATCTTAATGAACTCTTTAGAATAATGCAAATAAATTTGGTCAAGATGTTTTTATATATGAATTTTTCACAATAAAGTTCGTCACCTTCTTCTGAAAAATTATAGGTATTTATATACAATTATTTCTTAGGTTATGTCTTTTCATGAAGAGTTGTAACTCTTTATAATTTTTCAGAAAAGATGCTTTGGTAAGCGATTACAAGACTTGGTAATCGATTACAACAGTTTTAAGTTCAAAAAATTTGAAACGTTGTATCTTTTAAATTCAAATTTCTGAAGTTTTCTCTTCTGGTAATCGATTACAAGGTCTGGTAATTGATTACCAGAACACATTTTGTATTTAGAATTTGAACTTTGAAGTTTCCATGTTATGGTAATGGATTACAAGGTCTGGTAATGGATTACCAGAACATATTTTTGCATTGTTTCAAAAGCTTTTATGTAGAAAACTTCATATCAATAATTTCTTTCACAAATCTCTTTTAAGAAATGATTTGAACTATTCTTTAAAGTTTTTGTTAAGTCTTTCAAAAACATTTTTACTTACTTTCAAAAAATTTAAAACTTGCTTAAACTTAAAGAGATTATAATTTGAGATTTTTGAAAACTTATTCTCAAGGTCAAACATACTTGCAATTCTAAAAGATTCTTTTACATTCTTAGCTAAGTTGACAAGACTTATCTATGTAACACTTGAGATCTTGTTCTTGCATCAACTTGCTTTAGCTCAACCTTAATTCTTCTTCAATGCTTTATAATCACTTTGGCATCATCAAAACATTTGTGCATATTTTCTTCCACAACACGACGTGAATTGAGAGGGAATGAGCAGACCAGGTACAGCTTGCAAACGCTACCCCAGTTTGGGTCACAAGGATATGAGTTGTTTTGTCAGTGATCCACCATTTGGTAATGATCTCAGTCCTACTGTACTACATGTTGTGTGATGTCGTCATACATATTTATCAAAATCCTTTTCGTTCCTAACCTATGTGACACAAGATAATATACCCATATATATTAAACATGAATAATTATTTTATGTGATAATATTTTTTATAAAAATCTTAATGAGAAAGTTTTAGATTTTTTTTTATTAATAAAAGGATTAAGTAATTAACTCACGTAATAATCATATCATTATATCATATCACAATACATTTGTGGATTTACAAATAAGTTTAGATAACGTGTCACATTCACAAAAATTCAAGAGATATGCGTTATATTCACAAAAGTTGGATGATGTGAGTCACATTTATAAAAGATTAATATTAACGATATAATAAATGAATTTATAATCATATTATGAAAGAATCAATCAATACTAATTATAATATCTTTTATGATAATTAACATTTATGATATACAAATCATTGTCATTTCTATTTTTTAATTATAATAATTATATGATTAATATATATATATATATATATATAATTTGAAATTATATAATTAATTATATGAGTAAAATAATAAAAATACACACATGCAGAAATGCAATATATTTTTAATTAAGGTAATTTTAATTAATATTGTATAAATAATTTATGAAATAATCAATCAATATAACATCCTGATTTTCTAAAATAAAATAACAAGAATTGTTTTTAATAAAATTATATTATAAACTTAGTTATTTAATTATTTAAATTTATAATATAAATAATATTTTTATTAATTAAATAAAATAAGAAGGAAGTGAGAGAAAAGAAAGAAGAGTTTAGGTTAAACTGTGAATCTAATCCTAAGACTTAAAAAAAAATAACAAAGGGGTTAGGTTTTCATTATGCATAATGTTAGTCAAATAACCTCATATAACTTAAGAGGGCGGGTGAATTAAGTTTTCAAATTTTTTTCTTATAAAATTTTTTCAAATTACTTTCTTACAAATTCAATTCCTTATATAAATTTATATGTAAAGAATGAATGATGCAAAACTACTCTAACATAATTAAATAACAAGTAATTAAAAGTGTAGGGAAAGAAGAATTGCAAACTTAATTTTATACTAGTTCGACTAATCTTGCCTACGTCCAGTCCTCAAGTCTCCCACTTGAGATTTCCACTATTCTTGTAAACTTTACAAGACTTGAATCCTCCAACACCTCAGAACTCCATTTCCTTGTGTTGAGATTCAAAAACCAACAAGGGGAAAAATCCTTTCTCCTTCAAAGATCCAATGATCAATTTGGAATTACAGAATAACTCTCTTTTAAGAGTTTTTTTTTATCTTAATGAACTCTTTAGAATAATGCAAATAAATTTGGTCAAGATGTTTTTATATATGAATTTTTCACAATAAAGTTCGTCACCTTCTTCTGAAAAATTATAGGTATTTATATACAATTATTTCTTAGGTTATGTCTTTTCATGAAGAGTTGTAACTCTTTATAATTTTTCAGAAAAGATGCTTTGGTAAGCGATTACAAGACTTGGTAATCGATTACAACAGTTTTAAGTTCAAAAAATTTGAAACGTTGTATCTTTTAAATTCAAATTTCTGAAGTTTTCTCTTCTGGTAATCGATTACAAGGTCTGGTAATTGATTACCAGAACACATTTTGTATTTAGAATTTGAACTTTGAAGTTTCCATGTTATGGTAATGGATTACAAGGTCTGGTAATGGATTACCAGAACATATTTTTGCATTGTTTCAAAAGCTTTTATGTAGAAAACTTCATATCAATAATTTCTTTCACAAATCTCTTTTAAGAAATGATTTGAACTATTCTTTAAAGTTTTTGTTAAGTCTTTCAAAAACATTTTTACTTACTTTCAAAAAATTTAAAACTTTAGGTTATGTCTTTTCATGAAGAGTTGTAACTCTTTATAATTTTTCAGAAAAGATGCTTTGGTAAGCGATTACAAGACTTGGTAATCGATTACAACAGTTTTAAGTTCAAAAAATTTGAAACGTTGTATCTTTTAAATTCAAATTTCTGAAGTTTTCTCTTCTGGTAATCGATTACAAGGTCTGGTAATTGATTACCAGAACACATTTTGTATTTAGAATTTGAACTTTGAAGTTTCCATGTTATGGTAATGGATTACAAGGTCTGGTAATGGATTACCAGAACATATTTTTGCATTGTTTCAAAAGCTTTTATGTAGAAAACTTCATATCAATAATTTCTTTCACAAATCTCTTTTAAATTTTTCGACTTGTTTGTAGTTCTTCGAATGGGTCGAACAATAAGGATTTAATAAATTAGCACATACATTAGTTGTCCAAGATGTCACCCCGACCTAATCTGGTTTTCCACACTCCTAGAGCAGCAATCGACCTACTCTTAGCACTTGCTATAACGATGAAGACACCTATATATATAACTAAGATTGGATATATCATGCTAGATTAAGACATTTGCCACCTGATGCATTTTTACTCACTTGACACTACACGTGGCGTATTTGAATATAATGACTTTTCTCGCCAATTATCTTCTATATAATGGGATCTTTTATGGTATGCAGTTATAAACATGGACACAAATGATGTGATTATGCTTTATTATTTTCTCATACTATGCTCAAACTTTTAACGACTTGCGCGTGTTTGCATGTCCCCACCACTTAGATAATGTTCCTTTGCTATAGAAGTTGCTCGTGGTGTCGTTCGTTCCTATTCACCATTCGAACGTAAACATCACCTGTTTTTACAGCACACGTTTACAATTTTTAGCTTTTAACAAATTAAAGCCCTACCATGTTAATAAAACCGAGGACTGAAAATCTAACAGCACAAATATTACAAACTCGTTATTACCGGTAAATTTGGTGGACCACATTCCTTCTTAGTCCAATCAGTACCACGACGTCTTTAAACGCTTGTCTCAACGTTGTCTTTTTCAGACATTTCAAGGTAACTGCGAAGAACAATACAGACAGTAATTGCAAACCGCAATATTCAACTTTAAGTATACGGTTCTCTTAGTCACATGGAAGAAAGAACGAAACAAAGCTGATAAAGCAACCAAATAATTAAGACACGCCTTTGAAAATTCTATTGAAAAGCATAGAACTGGTTGTATTTATATAAACAAGTTAACGTTCATTCCAAGCTCCAATCACACATTAGTATCTACCTTCTGCATCACGACACGAGTGACTTTTCATTGTTCAGTAATGTACTTATCAACCCTTCTGTATTTTATGCACAAGTTGACTCACTATTGTCCATGCAACACGTTGGTCGTTTACTCAATTTGTTACAAAAATAATTTTCTTTTTGTATTCTACTAGCTTCTCTTTCTCTCTCTATATACAGTGATTTCATTAGTCTTCACTCTTCAGCATGCATATTTTATTATGCTAACTCTCTACCTTATACTCAATGAAGTTTATTCTTTCTCTGATGAGAATCATAGTTTATATACTGTTTGTCCCTTCTCTCATAGTTTTCATAGCAGCGGACACATCATCATCTTCACAGTTCCAATTCCTCAGTTATGAAGAGACTATAGTTTCTCCAAGAGGAATCTTTGAACTTGGTTTTTTCCATCTTGGAAACCCCTACAAAAGGTACCTCGCTATTCGGTACAAGTGTTGCCCGGATCAAACCTTTGTTTGGGTTGCAAACGGTGGCAAACCAATCAATGACTCATCAACCATGTTGAAACTAACCAGTTCTGGCAGTTTAGTCCTAACACACACCAACAAGGTTGTTTCGTCCGCAAGTTCTCCAAAAGTGGCACAGAATCCAGTGGCAGAGTTACTAGACTCTGGCAACCTTGTAATAAGAGAGAAAAATGAAGCAAAACTAGAAGTAGAAGGGGAAGAATATCTATGGCAAAGTTTTGACCACCCTTCAAATACAATGTTGGCTGGGATGAAGATTGGATGGGACCATAAAAGGAATCTAAGTAGAAGTCTCATAGCTTGGAAGAGTGATGATGATCCAACCCCAGGAGACTTATCATGGGGTATTGTGCAAAATCCCTATCCTGAGATCATTATGATGAAGGGAACAAAAAAGTATCACAGGCTTGGACCATGGAATGGTTTGCGTTTCAGTGGCATGCCAGAACTGGTGCCTAATCCTGTTTTTAGTTACAAGTTTGTCTCCAACGAGGATGAGGTTTATTACATGTGGACCATGCAGACTAACTTGATAACCAAAGCGGTGCTCAACCAAACAAAGCAAGAACGTCCTCGCTATGTATGGTCCGAGATTGATAAAACATGGAACTTTTACTCAACCATTCCAGGAGACTATTGTGACCATTATGCCTTTTGTGGGGCCAATGCATTTTGCAGCAGCACTGCATCACCAATGTGTGAGTGCTTAAAAGGGTACAAGCCCTTGTCTCCTGAAAAGTGGAACACAATGGACTGGACTCAAGGATGTGTCCTGAAACATCAATTGAGTTGCATGAATGATGGTTTTTCCTCTGTGGATGGTTTGAAAGTGCCAGATACTACAAATACGTCTGTGGATGAAACTATTGATCTTGAGAACTGCAGAAAAAAGTGCTTGAATAATTGTTCCTGCATGGCATATACCAATTCAAATATAAGTGGAGCTGGCAGTGGCTGTGTCATGTGGTTTGGTGATTTAATTGACATCAAATTGTATCCAGATTCAAAAAGTGGACAGCGTCTATATATAAGGTTGCATCCTTCAGAACTAGGTAAATACTTTATTAAATTTTCCAATTAATCCTTTATTATTCTTATAACCACAGTTACAATCTTGTCTTTTAGAATTTAAGTTTGGTCCTTCAGTATGGAATTTAATCTTTGTTATTTTGTTTGGTGAAGATTCTATCAGGCACAAGAAGTCTAAAATAATATCTATAACCTCCTTTGCTGCAACTATAGGAGTTATACTTGCTATTTATTTTGTCTACAGAAGGAAAATTTATGGTAAAATTATTCTTCACTTCTCTCGCGTTTCACTGAAAATTGGCTGAATAGTTCTGTACATAATATTTTAAATGAAAATTCTGCAATTTTTCAATTCCCTTGACAAGTGCTGTTATTCAAATTATTGGTTTTTAGAGTATTCTGTGAAATTTTGATTAATGAGTGACCTTATTAGCAGGGTACTGTTCTGTGACTCTTGCATAGAATTTCATAGCTGTGCAGTTTAATAACGTGATGCATACAAAATTTTTCACAATTCTTATCTTCTCTGTCCAGAAAAGTCAACGGAAGAAAATAACTACGAAAATTATGCGGATGATCTGGATCTTCCATTGCTTGATTTGTCCATAATCATTGCAGCCACTAATAACTTCTCAGAGGGGAACAAGATTGGAGAAGGTGGCTTTGGACCCGTATATTGGGTAATTCAATATTTTTACCCAAATACTAACCACAATAAAAATATTGAACCAAAAATATTTGGTGCTCATATGAATGTGATTTATGCAGGGAAAATTAGCCAGTGGGCTAGACATTGCTGTGAAGAGACTTTCAAAGAGCTCAAATCAAGGGATGAGTGAGTTTGTAAATGAAGTAAAACTGATTGCAAAAGTTCAACACCGAAATCTTGTAAAGCTTTTTGGCTGCTGCATTCAGAAACAAGAAAAAATGCTAGTTTATGAATACATGACTAACGGCAGCCTTGACTACTTCATTTTTGGTATGAAATATTAATCGACCAATCTTATATAACAACTCACTAATGTCTTATGACTATAGTTATATCTTGCATATTCAATATTAAATAATGGAGTTGCTATGAATACACCAGATGACACCAAAGGAAAATTGTTAGATTGGCCAAAGCGTTTCCACATAATTTGTGGTATTGCTCGAGGACTTATGTATCTTCATCAAGATTCTCGATTGAGGATTATTCATAGAGATCTCAAAGCAAGTAATATTTTACTAGACGATAGTTTGAATCCAAAAATTTCAGATTTTGGAATGGCTAAAACTTTTAGTGGAGAAGATATTGAAGGAAACACAAACAAAATTGTTGGAACATAGTGAGTACTTATATGTTTAATACTATATTGTACTTCTTAAGAGACATGGCATAAATATTTTGTTTTCCCTCAATATTTAATTGCAGCGGATACATGGCACCAGAATATGCTATTGATGGACAATTTTCTATAAAATCAGATGTCTTTAGCTTTGGTGTGTTACTGTTGGAGATTATATGTGGAAAGAAAAATAGATGCTACCGCGGAAAGCAAGTCCTTAACCTTGTAGATCATGTAAGCACTTTGTTGATCTTAATTTATCTAAGCTAAAGTTGCATTGACATGTTATTAACAATTTTCTTGTTTTGTGGTTTAGGTGTGGGCACAGTGGAAAAAGGATATGACATTACAAATAGTTGACCCAAATATGGAGGATACATGTGTTGCATCTGAAGTGTTACGTTGCATCCATGTTGGGCTCTTGTGTGTGCAACAATACGCAGAGGATAGGCCCACTATGACCTCAGTGGTTCTAATGTTGGGGAGTGAAATGCAATTGGATGAGCCTAAAAGGCCCAATTATTTTACGAAGAAGGAATCTAATGAAACAAATTCAAGCTCATGTAGTTTGACCAACGCAATGTCCATAACATCATTTTCTGCTCGTTGAAAAATCAATCTATAGGTGGATATACTGTTTTAATTAATTAAGTATTAACTATCTATAATCAAAGTGCAGATTGTTGTAGTGACATGTCAATTTGGTTTAATTATTTTATACCATGGAAATGCAAGTACATCTCAACTATTGCAAACTCATCAACTCTCCAAATTTTTCATGTACATTTCATCTCATGTGTAATGAAGTTGAGACATGTCGTGTCTCTATTTATTTTTCATAAAAAAAAAAATCTTTAAGATAATTGTGCGTTAACTATAGTGATAAGAGATGAAAGTTTTGAAGTGAAAAGGAAAATAAGAGATGAAAAAAGAGAGAGAGAAAAAAAAAAAGAAGATAATTGTATGAATAGTATAAAGTTTTCATTTACAATAAAAATGTAATGTGGTAAAATGATCCCATTAAAAATAGAGACTGAAACAGTTGAGGAAAAATATATCCCATTTATCTATTGATATATATTTTTTGTTTCAATATGACTTTCGTTTTTAGAATTCTTTAATTTTTTTTATATTTGATTACTAAGTTTCTTTTGTATCATTCTCTCAAGTGATTCCACAACCCCAGCTAGTATGTCATTTATTTTGTTGTTGAAGAAACCCTCTAGTGTGTTGGTAATAAATTGTTAACGACATATTTTATTCACTTAATATTATTTGTCCCCTTTATCTATTTTATTTCGTGTCTTTACCATTTGATCCTTTGATGAAAAATGAACCACTTGTGTCGATAAATAATTTATATTGGCTTTGAAATTCCATTTTGGTATTTTATCTTTGTGTCCCCCCTTTTTTTGTTTTTTTTGTTAGCAAAATAACCTACAACTCATTTGAGATTGTAATGGGCCTATTGGATGGTCTAAATCAGATTGGGCTAACCGAGTGCAAAGACTTTCCTCTGACTTTTGCTTTTTAGTTTTGTATTCGGTCATTTGAACAAGAGGTTTTTGTTATTTTTTTTATTTTTCTTATTTTTTCATTAAATTAGCTATGCTATATATAGCCCACATAGCTACTTTGTTTCTTTCATATATATATGAGATCTTGTTAATTAGGGATGTAAGTGAGGAACAATGCATCTGTGAACTCAAACTATCCAATCAATTAATTATTTTTTTGTAGGTTGGATCATGTCATTAGGTTGGGTTAGATAATTTTTTCATTTCTTGATTAAGATTAGATTAGGTGAAAAGTCAAGCAATTTGTTATCCAATAAATCCGACTCAACTTGACCTTCAATAAATCACTAAATTAAACTACAAAAAATCACACACATACATTATAGGTTTTGCAAGAAATAAAAAGGTTAGGGTTACAAGTGCCTTTGAAATCTTTGAGTAATTATTTTACATGTTCAATATAATTAATTTAATATTTAGATGTATATTTAATTCTTCTTTTTTCACCAAATATTATTAGAATGAGTTGATTCGTTAAATTAAAAAAGGTATAGAGTAAGAAGAATAATTTAATTTGACTTTTATGTAACTCAAAATTTCTAAATTATAATGTTGTTTGTACTTTGTATTATGTATTAAATTTTGAATGAGTAACTTATTTTTACTTAGTTCAAAATTTTAAAATATAATATTTTTTAATTATTAAACCTAATTATCCCTGAATCAATTTGATTGTAGTTAAATTGCCTTAAAAAAAGCTCACAAACTTAATTCTACCTAATTCGATTAAGTTTAATTAGATTAGATATTAAAATAATTCAAATTCAACCTATCTCGATTTCACTCCTAGACTTAAAAAAATTCTAAAACCTTCATGATATCTGTATTTACAAGCTTCCTCAATTTGTAGCTCCCTTTACTAAGTACATCCATTTTCTTTTTTTCAAAAATATATATCTTAAAATAACTTTTTTGTTTTTCCCAATTTTTTTTTCTCAAATGATCTCTCTCTTGGGGGTGTAACTATTGTTTTGTCTCTTTTGAAAACATTTCTCTCTGGGTGACCCATTTCTTCTTTTCTTTTGGAAACATTCCTTTGGGTGACCCTTTTTCTCAAATTATCTTTTCTAGTTACAATCATTCAAAGCTTCTCATTGTCATTAATAATCAACTATACTATTATTAAATCAAGATTTAATTAGTATTAGATATGAAGGTAAAGATAAAAGTTCAAAATTAGAATTTTGATAATAAAAAACATGCGGGTGTAAAGATAGCATCTATAGTATAATAAAAATGAGGTGAAAAAATAAAATTTATAAAGACATATTTTGGTAATAAAAAAATACCAAGAAAATAAGGAAGCGGGTGTACTTAGTATATACGGGGTGTAAATAATAAAAGCATTATTTTCATTTCTTTAAATTTGAACCACGCTATTTTATTTTATTTTAATTTTTATTGGGCATGTATTAAAAATAATACAAAATAAAACATGAAAAAATATTGTTTTTTTTTCCTCTCTTCATTGTTTCAATTTTGCAGGGCACACTTGTTTTAGCCTTTTACATATTCCTAGTTTGAAATTGGAATCCTGCAAGAGTTGAAAATTAAAGAGATCAATCAAGCTCTACTACAACCCATCATCATTAAATATACAGTGAATTTCTAAATCAATTTTAACTATAGCAAGTCTTATTAAAAGGTCTTATCTCTCTAGAACCATTTCACTATCAACCTTTTCGTTGTTGCTTTATTCTCATTCTTGTTCTATGTTATATTGTTCTCTCTTTCATTGTACATTGTGTTGTTAGTTTGTTATCTTGATTTTGTTATTGGAATATTTGTTCTCTTCTACATTGAGTTATTATTTTATTTTTCCCATATTATTTAATGTTATTTATGTTTATTATATATGTTAGCCTCTGTTAGTCAGTGTGTTCTTTATTAGTGTTTGTTTGCTCTCTATTAGTGCATGTGTTTATTACATCGTTAGTGTGTGTTTTAGACAATGATACATAGTGTATAGTTTCAGGCTGAATATGATTTTATAGGTAAGTGCAACAGAATAGTGTTATCAAAATTGGAATGTCAATCAAGTCGACCAATGTACTAATGTGATGAGTTATTTATTGAATTAATGAGTTGTCGGTTAATTTGCACGAATCAACTTAACACAATGTTTAAATATAATATATATATATATATATAGAGAGAGAGTTCAAATGACATCAATGTAATTTTATATTAAATGTGAATTTTACAAATTTAACCATTGAATTATAACTTCATATCACTTTATATGTTTATATTAAATTTTGTTAAAATTGTACAATAATTTGAAGGTAATCAAAATATTTATATTTTATTATATTTTGAAATGTATATATTACTTTAATTTTATTTTATAAGAATGAAGTACTAAATTATCTTAGATTAATATAAAATTTTGTATATATAATCTAATAGTAAAGAACTTTCAATATAACGGTTAGATTTATAACATTTACATTTAATATAAAGTTATTGAACAGTATAATACTTCGTAAAAGTTACACCGATGTCATTTGAACCCTCTTTATATATATATATATATGTGTGTGTGTGTGTGAATGATTTGTTTACTCTAGTACGTAGTAAGTTTATCTACATTTATTTTGTTCAATAACTTATGTTTTATATCAAATTTTAACAATCTAACTATTGAATTTAAAACTTTTAATGCATGAATCAAGTTTACAAATTTAAAAATAAAAATAAAAATCATTTAATATTTTATTTTAGGCTTAAATATGTTTTTAGTCCCTCAAATTTAAGGTAAATCTGTTTTTGGTCCCTTAAATTTAAAATTTTTTTTTTTATTCCTTTTAATTTTAAAAAATCTTATTTTAGTCCTTATATTCAAATTTTGTTAAGAAATTTATCAAACATTATTGCATAAAATCTACCTATTATTGTCTCTATTAGTGAAAATATCACATTAAATCTAGTTGATATTGCATAACTATCTTAATTAATCACTTTTAGATATGTTATTGGTGACCTAAGGGACTAAAATAAGATTTTTAAAAATTACAGGGACTAAAAACAACAGTTTTAAATTTGAGGGACCAAAAATAAATTTGTCTTAAATTTGAGGGACTAAAAACATATTTAAGCCTTTATTTTATTAATTCAAATTGATAGATAATCATAAAATCATTTTATACGTTGATTTAAATTAATGAAACGAAGTATCAAATGATTTTCAAATTTTTTAAAAAATTTGCAGACTTAATCTATGCATTAAGAACTTTAAATTCAATGGTGTAATCATTGAAATTTGACGTCAAACATAACTTATTGAACAAAATAAATTTAGATAAACTTACTTCTAAAATAAACGGATTCCTCTTTTTATATATATTATTTTTGTCACATTATATTATTTTAGTGGTGATTGGTCGAAGACATGTCAACAATGTAAATATATAAATAGGAAGGAATTGACTCTCTACCACAATCTACACTTCAATTATATTGATTATATACATAATTTAAAACAATATATCCACCTATACCATTGATTTTCACCGAGCAGTTAATAATGTTACGGACATTGAGTTGGTCGTACTACATGAGTGCGAATTTGATTCATTAGATTCCTTCTTCGTAGAAAAACCGGGCTTTTTAGGCTCATCCAATTCCATGTCACTCCCCAACATTAGAACCACTGAGGTCATAGTGGGCCTGTCCTCTGCGTATTGTTGAATGCACAAGAGCCCAACATGGATGAAACGTAATACTTCAGATGCAATACATGAATCCTCCATATTTGGATCAATTATCTGTAATGTCATGTTCTTTTCCCAAAGGGTCCACACCTAAATCACAAAAGGATAAAATTGTTAATAACATGCCAACTTTAGCATATATAGATCAATTGAAATCAACTAAGTGCATGCTTACATGATCAACAAGGTTCACGACTTGCTTTCCACTATAACTTCTATTTTTCTTCCCACATATAATCTCCAAAAGTAAGATACCGAAGCTAAATACATCTGATTTTACAGAAAATTGTCCTTCGATAGCGTATTCTGGTGCCATGTATCCACTGTAATTAAACATTGAAGGAAAAAAGTTATTTATTATCAAGTCTCTTTAAAAGAACAGAATATGCTACATATATAGATACTCACTATGTTCCAACAATTCTATTTGTGTTTCCTTCGATATCCTCCCCACCAAAAGTTCTAGCCATTCCAAAATCTGATATTTTGGGATTCAAAGTATCATCTAGTAAAATATTGCTTGCTTTGAGATCTCTATGGATAATTCTCAATCGAGAATCTTGATGAAGATACATAAGTCCTCGAGCAATGCCACAAATTATGTGAAAACGCTTTTGCCAATCTAGCAATTTCCCTTTGGTGCGATCTGTGATATTCATATAAACTCCATTATGAAATATTGAATATGCAACTTGTCACATAAGACACTATTGAGTCATAAATTTATAATATAAGATTGCATGTTATATTGATATTCCATACCAAAAATGAAATAGTCAAGGCTGCCGTTGGTCATGTATTCATAAACTAACATTTTTTCTTGTTTTTGAATGCAGCATCCAAGAAGCTTTACAAGATTTCGGTGTTGAACTTTTGCAATCAGTTTTACTTCATTCACGAACTCACTCATTCCTTGATCCGAGTTCTTTGAAAGTCTCTTCACAGCAATTTCTAATCCACTGGTTAATTTTCCCTGCATGATCACATTCATGAGTAGATGCACTTTATAATATAAATATTTTTTTCTTGTGATTTGTATTTGGATATTATTATTACAACCCAAATATGGAATTACCCAATATACGGATCCAAAGCCTCCTTCTCCAATCTTGTTCCCCTCTGAAAAGTTACCCGTAGCAGCAATGATTACTGAAAAATCAAGCAATGGGAGATCCAGATCATCCATATAATTTTCATAGTTATTTTCTTCCTTTGACTTTTCTGGAAAAAGAGAACAAAAGAATTGTGAGAATACTTTTATTGCGTTCAATATTATTAAACTGTACAAGTATAAAATTATGTTCAAGAGACAGAAGCGTAACAGAATCCTGCAACAAGACCACTCTACCAAAATTACACAGCATACTTTAGAAGACCAATAATTTGAATAACAGCACTTAACAAGGGAATTGACAAATGCAGAATTTCCTTTATGTGCAGAACTTTTTAGCCAATTTTCAGTGAAATGTGAGAAAAGGGAGGAATAATTTTACCATAAATTTTCCTTCTGTAGACAAAATAAATAGCAAGTATAATTGCTATAGCTGCAGCACCGGAGGTTACAAATATTTTTGTAGGCTTCTTGTGCTTGATAGAATCTTCACCAAACAAAGTAACAATCATTAAATTCCATATTGAAGGACTAAGCTTAAATTCTCAAAGACAAGAAGCTCTACTGAGAAGAATAATAAAAGGATTAATTGAAAAATCAAAAAGTTAATAAAATATTTACCTAGTTCTGATGGATGCAACCTTATATATAGACGCTGCCCACTTCCTGAAGCTGGATACAGTTTGATGTCAAATAAATCACCAAACCACATGACACAGCCACTTCCTGCTCCACTTATATTTGAATTGGTATATGCCATGCATGAACAATCCTTCAAGCACTTTTTTCTGCACTTCTCAAGATCAATAGTTTCATCCACAGACGTATTTGTAGTATCCGGCACTTTCAAACCATCAACAGAGGCAAAACCATCATTCATGCAAGTCAATTGATGTTTAAGGCCACATCCTTGTGTCCAGTTTATTGAGTTCCATTTTTCAGGAGACATAGGCTTGTACCCTTTTAAGCACTCACACATTGGTGATGCAGTGCTGCTGCAGAATGAATTGGCCCCACAAACGCCATAATGGTCACAATACTCTCCTCCTGGCATGGTTGAGTAAAAGTTCCATGTTTTATCAGTATCTGACCACACATAGCGAGGACGATCTTCCGTTGTTTGGTTAAGCACCACTTTGGTTATCAAGTTAGTTTGCAAAGTCCACATGTAATAAACCTCATCCTCGTTGGAGACAAACTTGTAACTAAAAACAGGATTAGGCACCATTTCTGGCATGCCACTGAAACGCACACCATTCCATGGTCCAAGCCTGTGATACTTTTTTGTTCCCTTCATCATATAGATCTCAGGATAGGGATGCAACAAAATACCCCATGATAAGTCACCTGGGGTTGGATCATCACCACTCTTCCAAGCTATGAGACTTCTATTTAGATTCCTTTTAAGGTCCCATCCAATCTTCATCCCAGCCAACATTGTATTAGAAGGGTAGTCAAAACTTTGCCATAGATATGCTTCCCCTTCTACTTCTACCTTTGCTTCATTTTTCTCTCTTATCACAAGGTTTCCAGTGTCTAATAACTCTGCCACTGGATTATGTGCCACTTTTGGAGAACTTGACCAAACAACCTTGTTGGTGTGTGTGAGGACCAAACTGCCAGAAGAACTGTTTAGTGTCAACATGGCTGAGGAGTCATTGATAGGGTAGCTACCGTTTGCAACCCAAATAAATGTTTGATCAGGGTAACTCTTGTAACGAATAGCGAGGTAGCTTTTGTTGGGATTTCCAAGATGGAAAAAACCAAGTTCAAAGATTCCATTTGGGGAAACTATGGTCTCTTTCTCTTCATAACTTAGGGATTGGAACTGTGAAGTGGATGATGTGTCCGCTGCTATGAAAACTACGAGAGAAGGGAGAAACAGTATATAAACTATGATTCTCATCAGAGAAAGAATGAACTTCATGGAGTACTAAGGTTGAGAATTAGACCATAAATATATCTATATCTATATATATAGAGAGAGAAAGAGATAGAGACTAGTCCAAGAAACAAAAATTTACAAGAATTGAGTGAAGAACCGAATCATTGCATGAAAATGGAATAAACTGGTGCATAAAACAGGACTACATGTACATTGCGGAATGCAGAACAACAACAGAAAGTCAAAGTCAGTCGTGCCATGAGTCGTGACACCAAAGGCAGAGACTAATGTGTGGTTGGAACTTGGATAAGTGAAGATTTACTTTTCTATTTATAAATAACATGTCTGCGTTCTGTGTTCTGTGTTCTGTGTTCTGCATGTGTTAAATTTATAATATTTGTTTCGTGTTTTCAATTTTATATAATATGTTACCATGTGTATTTAAAGAGATATATATATATATATATAAATAGTTTTATATTAATTTTTATAAATATATTTATATTTATACATACTTTAAATATATATATATATATACATAATTTTAAGTCTTATTTTTGTTATTTAATTAAATAAAAATTAATTAGGTGAAAAGTCATTTTTATAAAGAAAAATGTATGAATAAATATCAATTGAGTGAAAATATAATATAAAAGTATTATAAAAATAAATAATATATATAATAAAGTATTTAAGTAATTGGAGTATTAATGTGCTTTAATGTCAAAAGTTCATTTTGATAAAAAAAAAAAAAATGTTCACATGGGAGAAAATTTATAATGAAACAAGTAATAACAATTCTTGGATTAAGTAAAAAAGAAAAATAGACCGTTGAAGACAAGAATCAATTATAAACATGTAATAATAATGATAACAATAATGACAAAAGTAATTACAATGATGATAATTATGATAATTATGATTATAAAGTTTAATAAATATTTTTTTATTTATAAACATTGATTTATAAATTTAATTTTTATTTTATGTTTGTTGAAGAGATCAAATAATTGAGTAATATTTTATAAATATTTATAAATTAAGTGATATTTTAAAGTTAATTTAAATTGAATCAAATTAAATTTAAATTAATTACATTAGTGAAATATGTATAATGAATTACATAATTAATAATAGTAAGAATAATAATTTAATTTAATTTAGTCGTGAGAAATGTTGAAAAAATATGTACAATATTCTAAGTTTAAATTATGATATCCTCATTTTAATTTCTAGTGAAATTTTATAAAGTCAAATGTTAATACTATGATTATATGATGATAAATTTAATTAGTAAGAAATTATTAATCACTTAATATAAATTGCAAAAAAATCATATAATTTATTACAATAATTAATATTTAATAATAAGTGTATTCATGTTTAGAAAATAAAATTTCAAAATTATATGATTAAAAAAATGAAAGTGTATTATTAATTTATTGTTAGATTGTTAAAATCAACATAATCAATGTTATGTAACTATTAATTCAAATTGTAATAGTATTATAAATCAGATCTTAATTAAAAATTAATCGTAAATTATTATTGTTGAATAAATGAAATTTATTATTATATTAATTACAAAATTATATGATTAAAAAATTAAAAATATTGCTAATTTATTATTATATGGTTCAAATCAGCATAATCAATGTTATATAAGTGTTAATTCAAATTGTAACAACATTATGAATCGTATCTTAATAAAAAAAATTAATTGTAAAATATGATCTGTTGAATAAATACAATATAATATTGTACTAATTATAAAGTTATATGATTATAAGATAAAAGTATTATCAATTTATTAATAAATTGTTCAAATCAGCTTATCAACCGCTACAGCAAAGAAATATGTTCAATGGCCCCTAAGTCTAGAATTGAATCGTCAATCCACATTTTTATTACCATTTACCAACATTTTAATAGAAGAAATTTAAATTATATATATATATATATATAGAGAGAGAGAGTATTCAATAAAAAAATATTTTATTAAGAGGACTATAAATAATTGTGATAGTGATAGTGATGGAGGAAAATAGTATATATATATAGTAAAGTTGTTGAATTCTTGGAATTTATATGAAAGAGTGAGTGATACAAGAAGAAATATAAGAAAAGAAATTCAAGAAATAATAAGATTTGATATCAGAAAACAACAAAAATAATATTATGGAAAGGGTTATATATATAATATAATTCTTCCACTTTAAATTTTTAATAATAAATAAATAAATCATATTGACAATAAACATGAGTGAGATCCAATTCAACATTAATAATTTTTTTTTTCATCTTTTCTCCTACAAAATTAACTATTGCATTAACAAATAAATTAAAATTTATGTTCAAGCACATAAAAAAAATCCACACAATCAAAAAAAAAAAAAAAATTGAAGCACTTCCCTTTGCATATTTTTTGTCTATTATTTTGAATCTTTATTAGTTTCTCACATTTCATATGTCAAGCTCTTATACACAAAAATAAAATACCTAAAACTCAATTTCACAAAGAAAGTGTTATGTTTATCTAATTTACTATATATTATTATTCTCACATGGTTATTCATAAAAAAAAAAAGTGAGAGAAGTGAAAGAAGAGGAAGGAAAAGTAATATGTTGTATTTTCAATGAAGAGTGTGAAATGTGAATTAAACAATAAAGAGTGAAAGGTGAATTAGATAGAATATGAAGATGTTATATAGAGAGTAGAAGGAAATTGTAATAATAAATAGAATTGTAGAGAAATTGGCAATAAAAAAAAACAATGCCTTTTAATTTTGTTGATTATTGTAATGAGATGAGAGTAGAAGAGTGAAAGATGGATCAAATATAATGCATAAGAAATATATAATATAAACTATAAAGAAGAAATATAATAAAAGATTGAAATGTGGATAAAAAAATAATACCTTATATTTTCAATGAAGATTGTAGTTTGAAATGAGAATTAAACAATTAAGAGAGGTGTATTAAATAGTGTACGAAGATGTAATATAAAGAGTAATAAGAAAAATGTAATAGTAAATATAATTATAGTGAAATTGATAATAGAAAATAAAAATATAAAAAAAATTGACAAGCACAAATATATTAATATAATAATATATATGTGAAATTAGTTTTATGAGTAAGTCGTCTTTTATAATATTTTATATTATAAATAGTTGGTTCCTTTTCAAATTATAAATAGATCTTCAACTATTTCACAATGATTTCTTAACTGTCAACCATTAATATCTCTTTTCTTCTTTCTCCATGCACCTTTTATCATCATTTTTATATACCACAATATTTCGTTGTCTCCTTTAACCTTGTTCTTTTCCTTTAACCTTTGAACATCTGGTCCCCTTTCCCACTAGTATACTTTTTATTTATCTTTTTCTTTTCTTTTCTTTTCTTTCCATATATTATTTGTTTATTAACAAGATAAAAAATGTTAATTGCATGCTAACTAGAGGTATCAATTGTATAAAAATATGAGAAGAAAACATATACACTGATATTGTCAATCTCACTGCTAGAATTTCTCTTATTACATGCGACTTTTCTTATAAATTTTTATGAAAAATTTCCAGGAAACGTTGTTCCTACAAATTTTTCTGCAAAAATTTATCTTGAGGTAATACCTTCGTGGATAATATATTTTTGTGAATTTTAAAATTCGCAGGAAAATTTCCTGCGAAATTTCTTGCGAAAAAAATTCGCAGGAAAGTTTCCTACAAAAAAAAATTGCAGGAAAGTTTCTTACAAAAAAAAATTCGCAAGAAAATTCCTAGCAAAGTTTCTTGCGAATTTTTTCGCAAGAAATTTTGCAGGAATATTTTTTACAAAAAAATTAAAGAAATTACTATAAATTCTATCAATAATTCTTCAACTTTCAAATGCTCACAATGAATTCATCTGAAACATTTGTTTCCATGCCTCCAACTAGGTATGGCAAAAATACCCGCATCAGCGGGTATTGCGGGTAAAATCCACTACGGATAATAAATGGATAGGTTAATTGGGTAGCCATGGATAATGGAGACGGATAATTTTTTACCCGTTTATAAACAGGGCGGGGGGCGGGTATGATGATATTCATAGTCGCAGGGACCCGTTTAATAATATTATTAAATATCCTAATTATCCTTGTATCACATAACCCTAACACTATACTCTCTCATCTTTGTGATATGAGACTTTCACTTACTTGTTAGATTGATGTATTTTAAGTTATTGATTATCTTGCATTTTTATTATTATTTCAATAAAATTAACGTTAAATATAAGTTCAAAATTAACATTGAATTTTTATTTTTAATATTTCAATGACATTAAATATAAACTTAAAATTATTTGTAATATAATTTTTTAATTTTTAAAAAATTTATAAATATCCATTTCAATGACATTAAATATAAATTCAAAATTATTTGTAATATATTTTTTTAATTTTTTAAAAAATTTATAAATATCCATTTCAATGACATTAAATATAAATTCAAAATTATTTGTAATATAATTTTTTAATTTTTTAAAAAATTTATAAATATCCATTTCAATGACATTAAATATAAATTCAAAATTATTTGTAATATATTTTTTTAATTTTTTAAAAAATTTATAAATATCCATTTCAATGACATTAAATATAAATTCAAAATTATTTGTAATATATTTTTTTAATTTTTTAAAAAATTTATAAATATCCATTTCAATAAAAGTGTAACGATATAGGGTGGGTATGAGGCCAATTTTTATCCAGCAGGGCAAGGACGATTTTACTTACCTGCCCCCATGGGGCCCATCCTTACCTCCAACATGTGATACATAATCTTTTAAATTCTAAGATTGTAGATTATAAGTCTAACACTCAACCATACAAATCAACTTATAAGGTAAGTGTTGTCCCAACTTATATACTCTTTAATTATTTTATTTTCAATCGATATGGGACTTGAAGTTTTTTTAAAATATTAAACTTATAAATTTAAATATTTTTTTTTATTTTTCCTGCCGATTAAAATTTGCAGGAAAATTCGTAAGAAAAGTTACCT